GACTTCATCATTTCTTCACTACCAGACACACTGGACCCACTACAGTTCGCTTACCGTCCAAATCGTTCCACAGACGATGCCATCTCTCATCTCCTCCACACATCACTCACTCACTTGGACATTAGAAGGGGGAATTATGTTAAAATGCTCTTCATAGACTACAGCTCTGCATTTAACACCATAATTCCCTCCACACTCACCACCAAGCTGGAGCTTCTGGGACTCAGCTCATCTATGTGTCAGTGGATCTCCAACTTCCTAACTGGCAGACCACAGGCAGTAAGGATGGGCGGACATGTCTCAGCCTCCACCACTCTCAGCACTGGAGCCCCCCAGGGGTGTGTTCTGAGCCCCCTGCTGTACTCTCTGTACACATATGACTGCGTGGCCACTACCAGCTCCACCACCATCATCAAGTTTGCTGACGACACCGTCGTGGTGGGCCTGATCTCTGATAACAACGAGACGGCCTACCTGAAGGAGATTAGGAATCTGGAGAACTGGTGCCAGAGGAACAACCTCCTTCTAAACGTCAGTAAGACAAAGGAGCTGATAGTGGACTTCAGCACTAAGCAGGAGAGGAACTACCAGACCCCCGTCATCAACGAGTGCCCAGTGGAGAGAGTGGACAGCTTCAAATACCTCGGAGTTCACATCACGCAGGACCTGTCATGGTCCTGTCACATCAACTCCGTGGTGAAAAAGGCCCGTCAGCGTCTCTACCACCTCAGACGCTTGAGAGACTTCCAACTGCCCTCCAAGGTGCTCAGGAACTTTTACTCCTGCACCATAGAGAGCATCCTGACGGGAAACATCTTAACCTGGTTCGGGAACAGCACCATGCAGGACAGACGAGCTCTACAGAGGGTTGTGCGGTCAGCTGAGCGCACCATCCGCTCCGAGCTCCCTGACCTGCACTCAATCTACAGCAGGCGGTGCTGGACCAAGGCCAGGAAGATCGTGAAGGACCTCAGCCATCCCAACAACAGACTGTTCTCTCTGCTGAGGTCAGGAAAGCGATTCCGCTCCCTGAAGACCAACACAGAGAGACTGAGGAGGAGCTTCTTCCTGCAGGCGATACGGTCTCTCAATCACAATCACACCACCACACAGTACTGACCCACACATATGGTTCTTACACACACACTGGACTTTCTGGACATTGTTTTCACTTCATTACTTAAATCACTGCTGCTGTTATTGTGTATATATTTATTTATACTTCTTGTGTATTTTGTTCATACATTCTTATATAGTTCTATATTGTGTATTTTGTTGTACAGTTATTTTATTTTCAATTTAATTTATATATTTTATCTTATTCTTTCCCAGTTAAATTTACCCTTCATTCTAATTTGTGTTGTACAGTTATTTCATTTTTAACCTTAATTTATATTTTATTCCTTCCTAGTTAAATTTACCCTTTTTAATTTTTCATATTTATTTCCTATCTTATTCATAGCCTTTTCCTTTTTTGTTTTCTTTAGGTCACGAGCAGTTGTCCAAGCATTTCACTACATATCGTACTGTGTATGACTGTGTACGTGACAAATAAAAATTTGAATTTGAATTTGAATTTGCTGTGAGAAACATCTTCTATTCTCGCTCAAGCTCGATTTGTAAGTGATTTTATATGCATATATTTTTAAGTTCACACATATAACTCTCATTTCATAAGAGTAAATAGAAGAAGATCCAGACAATGTTTATTTCTAAACATGAAGTTATAACTGAAGTAATAGTTGATATACAGACAAAATATTATATTATGAATTTATATGCAAGAAAACACAGAAGAGGCACTCACGTGGTTACCGTCTCACATGTCATACATCTGTCTAGTAGGTCAGCTACTAATACAGAGTAGTCAAGTAATAGCAAAGGCCTTTGTGTGTGTGAGAAAGTTTGGTGAGAGTGTGGTTTAGTGAAGGCCTCAAACTGTTGCCCCATTATGTGAGGTGTGACTCATGAACGCGTTTAGATAAAACATAGCAACTTAACAAATTCACAAATGTGAATGAAAACATTTTAAATACTGCTTCAGCTCTTTACAATCCACTTTTTAGCGTTAGGGTTAAAGGTTAGCATATTTTACTTGTGTTTACTAGTAAGATTTTTTTCTAATATTTAAATTTGTGATCGTGCTGGAGGTATTAAAGAGATTCTGTTGCAGTGGTTTGAATCCTATCTATCTCATAGAGTCCAATTTGTTCATGTATTTGCAGACTCCACTTCATACACTTAGGTTGATTATGGAGTTCCACAGGGTTCTGTGGTAGGTCTAGTTCTGTTTACTTTATACATGATTATTTTAGGCAATGTCATTACAGGGCGTAGCATCTATTTCACTGCTATGCAGTTTATCTATGCATGAAGCCAGATAATGCACACCAATTTGTTAAACCTAAGGAATGGCCTAAAGACAAAATGACATGGATGGCCTCTCATTTTTTACTTCTAATTTCAGATGAAACTGGGGTTATTGTACTCAGGCCTAAAAATCTTGGAAATATGGTGTCTAACCAGATATCTACTCTGGATGGCATTACCTTGGTCTCCAGAGATACTGTGAGGAACTTTGGAGTCATTTTTGACCACGAAATGTCCTTCAATGCACATGTACCGTCCCTTCCTGAGCCTGGTTCTGCTGGAGGTTTCTTCCTGTTGCTAGCTCATAGGGGGTCATATGATTTGTGGGGTTTGCTCTGTTGTCTTTTTATTATTGTAGAGTGTTTACATTAGAATTCAAAGCACCTTGAGGCAAAATTGAATTGAATTAAATGTACGCAAAAGGGGGCAAACTATTTTTCACACCACTGCAATTATCAGTTAACATAAGGGTCATTCCATTTCAAATCATCAAATTTTCAGAACAATTTCTGCACAATCATTTCTGATGGGTTTAAAAAAATTACATTCAACATTTTGGACATATGTAATATTTGCTATGAAACTATAGCTTCATACTTAAAATATTTTTAAAGATATATGTTCTTGAAAATAATTTTTGGTCAACACACTTGCAGCATGTTATGTTTTTCACTTTGGAATCTGAGATCATGTTTGAACAGTATTATATCAAAATCTATTAAAGACTATAGTGATGGGATTTCCAGCTCTTTTTAGAGAACCGGCTCTTTCGGCTCGGCTCACTAAAAAGAGCCAGCTCATATATATGTATATATATATATATACATATATATATATATATATATATATATATATATATACATATATGTATATATATATATATACATATGTATGTATACCACTCATATATATTCAAATGATTTAAAAAAAAATGTTCATTTACCTGTTACTACCACACACCAAATCCGGTCGTTGGTACTTGCTGGCTTGGGTAGCCACTAGGTAACAAAAGCTCAACACTTCGCCTGCATCCTGGAGCACTTCTGTTGTGCTTTGTACGTGTTTTGGAGTTTTTACATGTTTTGGAGTTTTTACATGTTTTGGAGTTTTTACATGTTTTGGAGTTTGTACGTGCTTTGTCTCTAGGGGCCACCGTAAATCTACTTTTTATTTATTCTCTCCACATAAAATGTAATAAATAAATCATATATTACAAAAACCAACTATTCGCAGTTCAACTTTTAGCTATTTAAATTTTCAGCTTTTTCCTTTTAAACAAATTTTAAGTAAAACAACACAAAACACTGCAAACCACAACACAATTACATATAAATGAAAATATGAAAACAAAAAGAAGATGCACATTCTCTGTCATATGGGCCTGCATGAATAAACTTTGTGAATCCTTTAACATCCACAACTGTGATTACTATACCTTTCTAATGTGACATTGTTGTCCCTGGCTCTCTCTCTCTTCCTCCCGCTCTGTTCCTGTGCTACTGCGAGTGTAAATTCCACCCCTCCCCCCTCTTCCCAGCACAAAGCACAAGGCTCATGTGCTGAGTGAAGCGGAAAAAAAGAGTGAGAGAGAGAGAGAGAGGGTGAGAGAAAGAAAAAAAAAACCCCGGCTGGCGATAAGGAGCCGGCTCGTGTCGTTCACTTCAAAGATCCGGCTCTAAGAGCCACTTCGTTCGCGACCGACACAGCATCCATAATTTAAGACAAATGTATTATTATTACCATATTATTCCATTTGAGCACACATAAATAAAAAAACACAAAATATTCTTAAATACAGTGGAACCCCGACTTACGAATACCCCATGTCACGAAAAATTCAAGTATGATACCAAATAACACAAGTAACAAAACTGAAAAGCTGGATCAGATCACTGACAATGAGCCAGTCCATTCAGATCAGTTCAGTGGTGTTCTGCATTCACTTCATCACTGCAAGTTCAAGCACTAATGTAGCTTACAGGAAGCCAAAAGCAATAATTACTAATTAACAGTACTATATAAAGTATCCTGCTCTGCAATTTCAAAATTTCCCTCCACATAAACCACCACATAAAATCCATTAGTGAGCCAATGGTAGCAAAATGTTTGCAGGAAAAAGACTCATTTGATTATTTTCCCATCATGCACATAATTGGAGAACCTGTCTTACATAAGTAACAACAAAACTGTTATACCATTTTTCAATTTAGCACAGTAATGCTTTATGGAAAAACGGACTGTCAATGAAGTAGCATCCTACTTTGGAACATATTACACTAAACACTGAGCACCAAAAATGAATCCAATAACACCAAATTCTGAAAACTCATGAAAATATGTTTTTATTTGCTGTAGGTTAGGTTACTGCAGTTTTCTCCTTTGTGATACAAACAGGAAGTTACAGTATTTCTGCCTACAGCTTTAAAATGCAGAGACTAACAGAACACTGTTTCACTGTGAATGAGAGTTTAGAAAGATCAAAAAAATTGTAAGTCAGTATGATATGAGAAACATAAAGTGAATTTCACTACTCCCATTACTTATACTTAGTCTGTATCTAAAAGAAAATGGTAATAAAATTAAGAGAAATTGATAAATGTGTAACGTCAACAATGTCTGTCTTGTCTGGGTTACCTGTGTACAAAAGCATTAGCATTTTTTGTATGAAACAAGTATTTTTTCAGGTACTTTCTGAACATCTTATCTCGTATCCCATAAACAACTGGACTGATGATTCGAGGCAGAACATGTATTAGTATTGAGACTGTGTAGCGGATAGTCAGTACTCCTTTTGGAAACAAGGATGTCAAACCATTGAGCAGCAAATCATACACGTAGTTGAGCATGCACAGCAGCAGCTGGAAGCCGTGCAGCAGTACAGTGTTTCTTGCTTTCCTGGCGTTTGCAGCAGCTGCCTGTGCAGCGAAAAGAATTCTGAAATATGTGTAGACAAGGATGAGCCAAACAATAACCAGAAATACAATGTTGGATATATCTCTCTTCTTTTCTAGCTCAGGAGGTCTGAAAGTTGTTTTCCAAAGGCAGAAGACTCTTGAATGAAAGAAATCTCTGGATTCTGTGGCCAAGATGGTGAATAAATCTGGCAGAATTGTAAGTGAACTTAGCACCCATATCACTGTGATCACAACGGTTACATTTTTGACTGTACAGATCTGTGAGTGCTGGAGAGGGAAGCATATGGCAACATAACACTCTACTGCCATCACAGCGAGGGTCATTGGAGTGTTAAGGCTGGAAATGATGGCAATCACTAGCAAAATAATACAGAAGGGCACATGAAGAGTGAAAATGGCGTAACTGAGAACTTGAAGGAGGGTGAACATGATGAGCAGGAGGATATCATTGATTACCAGATGAATGTACAGGATGTAACGAGGATTTGTGTTGAAAACCTGAAGAGAAGGACAGGATTTAGAACATGAAAGGTGAATTATTCCACTAAACATTGAACGGTGGATAAAAAACAACTGCTTCAGTGACCAAACTTGGACGTCCAAAAATATCACTTAAAAGACGTCACTCCAACGTCTCTTTGCACGATGGAATGTTCACCGTGCAGAACATATCACATTCTGTCGTCTAGTATGTAGTTCTAAATGGATGTAATAAATAGATGCAAAATTTATGAGCAGGATACAGACCTCATGTTTTTTGAATGTGTGCAGCAAGGTGCCGTTGACATAGATGATGGCGATACTGAGGACCACAGTTATCACATTCTTGACAATAGCTATGTTTAACGGGTCCCGATACATAACTGTTGTCAAATTCATGGCAGCATTTGAAAGGTTCTTGAGTTGGCCAAAAAACCTGTAGACATCATTGATTGTTATGGCAGGTTGTAACACAGAAGGTGTTAACTTTAAAAACACGGCAAAGTGTTGATATCTATGAGCATTCCTTATCTGATTAATAATAATCTTAGAAATCTTAAATATTCTGCAACACTATTACACCAACCATAAAACACCATATCCAAGAATCAAAAATAATTCATTTTGCTTAAGCAAATAATTTACATTTCAGAAAATGCATTTTCTGCAATGTAATCCACCATAAATTATTTATTCTCATCAATTTTATAAAGTTCAAAAACCTTTCTGCTCCAGTTTACAACAAACTATGCTTTTCTGCACTAAACTCTGCTTTAGTTAAGTGTGAACTGCAATAAGACATTTTCATTAAAGAAAAAACTCCACATGTTTGTCCTATAACATTAACTTAGTCACAACGAGCTGGATAATAGTAGCATTCTCATTCAAAGCAGTAACTTAAATCATAGTTGATAATTGCGCCTGGTTGTGTTACAATCAGAGTTATTATATAGCTGATCACATAAAATAAAGTATACTACACTAAATGATTCAATACAATACAAATCTCAAAGAATATATAAATTGTTTTTATAAACAACCCCACCCACCAAAGAATAGGTGCTCACCTGGTTATGGTTGACTTCTGTCTTGTAGCACTTGCCAGTGATTTGATAATTTATAATAGTGGTTATATGCAAATGACGTCAGGTGTGTCTATACTGTATGTGTGAGAGAGGGAGACAGTGCCTAAATGTTTGTGAGTAGTAGGAGTGCTCGTACCCATTAGTGCATGCACGTGTGTATTAGGCACTTTTGCTAGCTCACAGAGAAGAGACAAGAATCACTGCAAATGTGTCAATATCATGCTTTGTCTTATGGTCCATCTCCTTAGGTTGACATGACACCAACACATGCTCTAGTGTCTTTGTTTAAAGTTTGAAAAGTCAGAGGATATTGTCAGCATTTAGGCTACAACATCCACTAACCCCAGCTCTCCAGAAACATCTGAAACATCTCTCTGTATTATATGTGTATCAGGGCCCTAGGCCATGTGCATGCATTAAAGGACTCCATTCAAAAGGCCTGCTCATTAAGGGCCTTAATACCCATTATTTTTTGTCTTTTACATCAGTATGACAAAATATAGATAGATTTTCTTTAGAACATGCTGTTACGGTTCGGCGTTGGCAGTGTATTGTTTTAGGCGTTTTGTTTTGGCGTGACTGTTATGTGTTTCCTGTTTTACTTTGAAAGTCTGTGTTATCTTAGTGTGTTCAGTTTACGTTTCCCTGTCTCGTCAGTTCAGTGTTGCCCCAGCTGTGTTTCCCTCTTGTTGTCCATTTCCTGATTGCTCCTTCTAGGTATTTAAACCCTGTGTTTCAGTGTGTCAGGGTCGCGATCTTCCCCCCGTTGTAAATAGTTTGGTGTTTTGCTGTAAATAAATGTCCTATTTTTCTTTAATGTAAATAGTTGTCGATACTTTCATTTTGGGATTTTTTTTTTGTGGTGAACCGTAGTAGTTTTTATTTTTTTCCCCTTATTTTTATTTTCCTGCGTTGCACGCCGGTTGCCTAGGCCGGGGTGTAACATATGGGGGCTCGTCCGGGATTGCCTTCGCTGGGGGGTCCGGGGACCGCCCCAGCCTTTGTCGTCTGCTGGAGGGTCCGTGGGACCGCTCCAGCCTTCATCCGCCTTCGCTGGAGGGTCCGAGGGACCGCTCCAGCCTTCGTCGTCTGCTGGAGGGTCGGTGGGGCCGCTCCAGCCTCCATCAGCTTCGTCTGCCTTCATCCGCCTTCGCTGGGGGGAGGGTCCGTGGGACCGCCCCAGCCTTTGTCGTCGCTGGAGGGTCCGTGGTGGCTTTTTGATGGGCGGAGCCATGCAATCATGCATGGACTGATTTGAGTGTTCACAACTCAGAAGTCCAAGCACATCTTTGCAGGAGGTCTCCTCTCTACAGGAGCTCACTCCAATATCTTTAGGGGAGAGATATTGGAGAGGTGGAGAATGACTCAAATTGGGTGTCTATTGTCTTGTGCAGTCTGGGAGAAGATTGGACGATGAGGTGGGTGCAGTTTTCTCTGCGGTGGGGTCAGGTGGGCTGCCCCGGACTCTGTGGGGCGGGGTGGTGCTGCTGCTGTGGGCCCCGGTCTGGATGGGCCTAGGCCACATTGCCCTGGTGGGTTCCAGAGTGTTGGGATACCTCCTGGGGTCAGCGGGGGAGCTGGCCCCAGGAGCTGGCCCCTTTCTTCCCTCCCCATCCTCAGCTGCCTCCTTCTTCCCGCTCCACCACACCCACACACACACCTGCACCCCAAGCAGGTGTGTCACCTGCTTGGGGTGCAGGTGTGTCACCAGGGTGCAGGGGAGGCACTCCCCCTCTGTCCCCTTCTGGCTGCCTGTGCCTAAATTTTATTCTGCAACCTAGACATCCACATTACTCACACTCTCATAACACATACATGTAGGGACGTGGGGGTGGGCACGTTATACAGCGTCCAGAGGATGGTCTGTGTATTCAAACCCACCTCTGACGCTGGTGCCCTATCCTCAATTTTAAATGCATATAGACACTGAGGGTTATCGGTAGGAGCCGTGCTGCTCTCTGGCAGGAAGAAAAATGCTTCCTGCCAGAGCAAAATGAGTATGTTTGGGGAGTGTGAATGTGTGTACAGTGTCTATTTGTGTCTGTCTACACATCGGGTGAGTGTCAAGTATTTGTTTGTGTATATGGGGGTGGGAATGCATGTTTGTGTCTGCGTGCGCCTGTTCATCTGTGTCTATATGTCAGCTTGGGTCTTAGACTCCACGCTGTTGTCAGCGTTTGACATGATATGTTGGCGCATGTGTTGTGTCTGTGTATATGAGTTTTAAAGCATGAGTGTGTGTGTGTAAACTACAGTGCTATTTAATTTAGAGACAGATACCATGAGCATGTGACTGCTGATCATCCAAACCTCCCCCCTCCAAACTCTGTGTCTTTAGCTCTCTTCCACTAGTACGTATTTGGCTTCACTCAAAGTGACTCAACTCATCTATTACAATCGTGTACCACTTAATATGAGTGGTGTTGTTATAGCAATGTGGCTGAAAGTCTGTGACATCATTTGTACGCAATACAAATGCCACAACAAAGGAGGATGTCGAGGTGATGGTATACCTGCTGCTCGGTGTATGGCATGTTGTTTTCTGTGCAGACATTTCCCTTAATGGCTGCACCAATGGTTTTAAAAATAGCGGTTTGGATTTTTGAGAAGGAGACACCGTCATGACTCATTGAGTGCCACCACTAGCCGATTGGTGGCATACAGTCGGTTGACATCACATTTTTCTTGGAACCCTGACGGAGTAATTACCTGGTACCAGGAACTATCACCTAATGGAAAGCACTAAAAACGTAGTCAAGCCGAGCTAAAATAAGCAGGTACAAGTGGAAAAGGCCTATAAAGTGCAGATAAAATTGAGAGGCAGACAATAGCCCCAACCACAAATCTCTGGCTAACACACCTGCTCCTGCAGGCCCTATTTCTATAGTGATGTACTGAGAACCGTAATCACTATAGGGTAATTAAAAAGGAGGGGCAGGTCACCGCGCAGCAGCTGTTTGAGTGATGTGGGGGGAGGGTCAGGATGCAAAGGCTAGGAGCCAGCTGCAATTCATGGTTTGTTTTTATACCACTGTGTATTTAATCATTCTTTGTTAATTTTTGTCTCTTTTCCAGTGTTTTTTTGGTCCTGTCTCCTGCTCCTCCTGCCACCAGTAGATGTCAGCCATCTACTGGTCTTAGTAGATGGCTGCCCCTCCCTGAGTCTGCTGGAGGTTTTGTTTAAAGGGAGTTCTTCCTTCCCAGTGTCACCAGGTGGTTGCTAACAGGCTGCCATCTATTTGTTGGTGATTTTTCTCTGTTTTATTGTAGGGTTGCAATCTTGTAATAAAAAGCAGCTCGAGGTGTCGTTGCTTTGTCTGTTTTTATATAAACAAATATATTTAGCAGCATTTTGTCAATTCAAGAAAATGTTATTTACATAGTTGCAAAAGACAACCAAAATTGCATCAAGGCATTTTATGCTGTAAAGTAAAGAACCTACAATAATACATCAGTAAGCATGTATTTATGTTTTTTTACACACTGCTTCTGCATATTGGCATAATAAAAAAACAACAACTAACGACAATATGTCACGCTGTTTTCATGTCAGATTGCATTTGCTTATTTTAAAGACCTGCTAAAGGCCAGATTACTCTTTCCCCAAAAGGGAGGGAGTATGTAATCAAGTGCTACATCATATGAAAGGAAATGAAGAGAGATGTTCATCACACATTATATTTTTCCAATACAACGCCCTACAAATTCTCAATGTCTGTATAAGGTTTTGCAAAATCACACACTGCATGAATTTAAGTATTTAAAGCTTATAGAAACCAAAGATTTAAGCCAGTTATGCTCCAATCAAATGGGTAAAGATATAAAATACACCTTTTAGTATCTGCTTCAAGGTCAGAGATCAAACATCACACAGTCACACAATTAGGAAAACACTAGTTTCCACTGGATCATCTCCAAACTTTAAAGTAGTATATTAGGCATTGTGAGACAAAGGAACTTTCTTTCTTTGAGCTTTTAAAAAAAAAATTTAATACACCATTATGTGATTCATAATGACACTAAACTATACTACATTATAAACTACAATATAGATAATGCTGACATCAACACAAGAAGAACAAAAACAATGCAGATGAGATTTTGGGGGATTTCCATATTACCACTGCTGACATCAGCATTAGTTTTAGTATCGCCTGTTACTTACATATCATGTTTTGATACATAAAACCTTAGAATTGAAGGAGGATGCTCTTTTTTTTTTTTTTTAAAGTGGACAAATATTTGCCAAAGAGTTAAAACAGTAAATTATCACTAGTAACAGTAACGTTTTTTTTTTCTTTCTTTTTTTTGTTGCTTTTTTAAAATTGTTTTTTTTTTTTTACTTAATTCAGATTCTATACAACGCTACTAACAAGAGCAAGGGTAATGTGTGATTTTCAAGACTGATGGTGATACCTATGTCTGAGCATTTAAAAAGCCAACATATCAACTAATATTTGGGGGTTTTTCTGGAACACAATGTGCACCCAGTGCATGTCCAGAGGATGAAATCCAGTTAACCTGATGATTAATTAATGTTTTTTACCAATACACCTAGCTGCCCTCTGCTAGATCAAGAATGTTATAGTCTAAAATCGGTCTCGTTACCCATTTTCATGGTACACAACAGATACTTTTTCAAATACTGTTTAAATGTCTTGTCTCGTAACCCATACACAATAGGGCTAACAAACCTGGGGACAATGTAGATTATGATATAGGAAATAAAAACAACTATTAGATACTGTTTAGGGAACCAGCGCACCAGAGCCTGCATTAATGCAGTTGCTATATAGGTTAGCATAGACAACAGAAGCTGAAAGCTGTGGAGCAGGATTGTGTTTCTCGCCTTCTTCGACTCTCGCTTGGCTGATTTAGCTTTGTTAGCAGCAAAAAATATCCTGAAGTATGTGTACATGAAGGTGAGCAAAACACCAATTAGGAAAATTAAATATGAAACCTCTTTCTTTTTTACAATGATTGGATGCCGGAATAAGTTATCTCTCTCACATTGTATTGTGGAATAAAATAACTCCACTGGCTCTGTTGCCAGAATAATAACAATGTCGGACAAAGCTGAGACTGCACTCATGGCCCAGATCCAACCTATAGCCACGTATGTTCTTTTAGTGGTGCAGTACTCAGCGTGTTGCAGTGGTAAACAAATAGCAATGTAGCACTCTAGTGCCATGAGAGCTAAATTTATTGGAGTATTGAAGGTGGTGAAGATAGCCAAAGTGATAAGGAAGCAACAGAATGCAACATTAATTTGATAAAAGATATAAGTGAAAACAAATAGACTAATTGAAGAAGTGAGCTGGATCATGTCATTCACCACCAGGTGGATGAACAGGATGTAACGAGGATTCAAATAAAATATCTGAAAGACATGAAACACCTCATCTCACTTTTATTACTTTAATACATATATATTTCTTGTGTTAGCAATATTTAGGTATATTTTTCCAATAATGATAATTAAATAAAAACAACAATAAGAATAAATACTGACCTGGTGTTTTCTGAAGGTGTGTATCAGTGTACCGTTAATATAGTTGATGGTAAAGCCGAGAGCCAGAACGATGACATTTTTGGCCACGGCTGCACTTGGCGAATCGCGATAGTTCAGACTGCTCGACGCATTGAGGGCATAAGATGAGGAATTCATAGAGATGCTTTTTCGGGATCCTTACAAAAGAGTAAAAGTAAGTCACACACACTTTATTGCCTAAATTATTCATTCATCCATCCAAATAATTGAATTCAGATGATCCATGGCCACAGGTGTATAAAATCAAGCATCTAGGCATGCCGTCTGCTTCTACCAACATTTGTAAATCAATGGGTTGCTTTCAGGAGCTCAGTAAATTCCAGCTTGGTACCATGATAAGATGCCACCTGTGCAACAAACCCATTGGTGAAATTTCCTCAGTACTAAATATTCCACAATCAACTGTTAGTGGTGTTATAACAAAGTGGAAGTGACTGGGAATAACAGCAACTCAGCCACAAAGTCATGTAAAATTACAGAGAGGCATCCGGGGATGCTGAGGTGCTTAGTGAGCGATGCTGAGTGAACAAAGGTCACTAACCTTCTGCACAGTCGGCTACTACAGACCTCATGTGGCATTCAGATTAGCTCAAAAACAGTGTGTAGAGAGCTTCATGCAGTGGGTTTCCATGACTGAGCAACTGCATCCAAACCTTACACCTTCAAGTGCAATGCGAAGTGTTGGATGCAGTGATGTAAAAAACAACAATCATTTTACTTGAAGCAAAACAATGATCCTAAATACACAGCTAGGAAATGCTCAATTGTTTCAGAGAAAGAAAATAAAAGTTGTAGAGTGGCCCAGCCAGTCTCCAACTGAAACTCTGGAAAGAACTAAAGCTCAGAGTACATAGAAGGGGTCACACAACCTTCACACAAATAAGCTGCTTTGCTCAAGCTTTATGCATTAAAGAATCCTAAATACTGCACTATAATGAACTGATAGCAGCGACAAAGACAAAAAACTTTCCTAC